AACATTCAAATTCCACATAATAATATAAATGTAATAATGATATGCATGTTGGAGTCATCACATATATACTCTTGAGCAAGGTGATATGCTTGTGAAGGATTATGCGACAAAATACAAGGAATTATTTATCAAGTCTAGAGTGGTAGAAAGTGAACTGATGACTATTGCTTATTTCAAAATTGGATTCAGATGTGGAATTAAAGAAGAGATGTCTCATGCATATTTGGAAGATATTGAAAATACAATTGAAACAGCTATACAATTTGAATTAATGATTATTATTATTATTTTATTTTTTTGTGCAAGGAGAAATCTACAGTTTTAAAGCCTATGCATAATACAAAGATTGTCCATCAAAACTAACCAACAAAAACTCAAAAAATGAAAGGCTAAAGTGCCACAAAAAGATGTTGAAAATTTACAACAAGATGCACCAAAGCCGAATATGGTTCTTGAGGATGAAAGCCTTACACAGTTGAAATTGCAAGTCAAAGGATGTGTTCAAAATTTGCCTAACGTGAATGATGACCAGATTATGAAGGATGACAAGCCTCCAATTGAAGCTCAATGTATTCAACTTGAAAGAACTACGGGTGAAACCAGAGAAACTGTTGTTCCTTATGCTCTTGAGAGTAATGAATCAAAAGAGTAGTTGCTAATCCAGAACTAATATATATAAAAAAATGCTTGAGACTCCCATTTTTTGTAGACTCCCACAATCCTCTTTAAATTTCCACCATTGATGTATGTGTGAGGCCCACACCATCAATATAAGAAATTACTGACTAAAAATACAAGGTCTGGAAAAATAATTACCGACTAAAAATTTTTTTAGTCGGGAAAAAGATTCTATTTGCCAACTAATTTTTTGGTCATTGATTATATAATTACCGCAACTAAACCATTTTGTAACTAAAACACTTTAGTTGCCAAAAGTGATATTTTCCTGATTAAATATGTTAGTCGCCAATTGTCACATTCCCCGACCAAAATGTTGGTAGGAGAAAAGATAAAACTTTAGTCGGCAATAGACCTATTTGCGACCAAACACTTTGATCGCCAAAATTAATAATTTTACCGACTCATTATTTAATCGCAAAATGTACCATTTCGCCTACCAACATTTTGGTCGCCAAATGTGAATGGTGAAACACCGACTAATCATTTGGTCGCCAAAAGAGGGAAAACCAAACCAAATTTTGGTCACGAATTCAATTCTTTTTGTTTATCAAAATAGAAATAAAATATAAAAAGAATTCCATTTGACCTGTACTAATCCATCCAAACCATTCAATATAACTTGTAATTTGCAAAAATCATTAAAACCACCAAAATCAACTGAATCATGAACATCCAACAAAATATATAAATCAGCCAATACTTAACCTGTTTAATTAAAGTCATCAACTATTATAAGTTTTCATCCACAAGTAATTCCAAACTACATAATCGTCCAATTAAAAAGGTCATGTAATCTGTATAATCATCCAATTCACATCCATCTAGTATAAAAATTTAAAACATAACAAGTTGTTATTATGTTTTAAATTTTTATCTATATGCATCTATCCAAAATATAACTAGTAGTTTACCCAAATATTTTCCATACAAATCTATCCAAAAATATATATAATCCTTAAAAAAATGTAGCAAGTGCTAACTAGTCTTGTACAATTCGGCTTCGTGCACGAGTTCATCCATCTGTACAAAAGAAAAACAAAAATAATGTCAAGTAATTTTGTTTATGAAAATATTTGCACATCACTCGGATTGTAAAATTGGACAAAAATTGAAAAAGGTACATAGAAAGTAAAGATAACATGAACAAATTAAAGGACTATCAATACCATTTTGTAAATTAAACAACATTCATATGTATACATCCACTCAACATTAAAATTCTATCAATATCAATGCACCACTCAAAAAATTCCACGAGTAATAGCTGTATGACCCACAGATTAAATTCTATCAATATAATATTCTAACAATTGAAATAGATGTTATCAATCAATGCTTCCATTTGGATTTTCTACCTCATATTGCAATAACTGGACAACATAAATGAATATTAGATCTAGCAAGTTAGTTACTATGACCTGTAGGTTACAGCACTTGTGATATTTAAATCTCTAACCGTGTGTCCTATCAATGCGCCGCTTGCTCTCACAAGTTTGTTCAATCTAGGCCGAGGTGACCGTTATGATTTCGGTGGTGTTGTTTGGGGGCTGTTTCCAATTTTCGCCCCCAAACGGCCGGTTTTCGCCTTTTTCTCACATTTTCTTGTCTAAATCTCTAACCATACGTCCTATCAACGCACCGCTTGCTCTCACAAATAAGTTTAATCTAGGACGAGCGACCATTACGATCTCGGGACTGTTTGAGGGCTGTTTCCAATTTTCGGCCCCAAAAAGCCTGTTTTCGCCTTTTTCTCACATTTTTTTGGTCTAAATCTCTAACCGTGCATCCTGTCGACGCGACACTTGCTCTCACAATTTTGTTTAATCTACTACGAGGTGATCGGTATAATCTCGGGGCTGTTTCCATTTTTCGCTCCCAAACGGCCCGTTTTCGCCTTTTTCTCACATTTTTTTTTGTCTAAATCTCTAAACGTGCGTCTTATCAATGCACCGCTTGCTCTCACAAGTTTATTTAATCTAGTCCGAGGTGACCGTTATGATCTCAGGACTATTTGGGGGCTGTTTTCAATTTTCGCCCCCAAACGGCACGTATTCGCCTTTTTCTGTCACATTTGTTTGTCTATATCTCTAATCGTGTGTCCTATCGACGCGCCGCTTGCTCTCACAAGTTTGTTTAATCTAGTCCAAGGTGACCGTGATGATCTCGGGGCTGTTCCGTTTTCACCTTTTTCTCTCACATTTTTTTGTCAAAATCTCTGACCATGCGTCCTATCGACGTGTGTCGCTTGCTCTCACAAGTTTGGATCCATATTATTTTTTGTACATTGGATCCATATTTAGGTAAGCAAACAAACCCTACAACCAGAATTGTTCATTTTTTGCCCCCATCCCTAGAACACATATACTAAAAAAAGTAACTAAGGGTAAGCCCAAGTACTATGTGTAGTGTGGTTTAAGAGATAATATATAGTTATTGTTAATGTAAATTGTAAATTGTGTAAATTACCCCACCACCAACTCCACCTACCATCTCCACTACCACCCACCACCTCCACTACCATCCACTACCACCACTCACCTACCTCACCTACTCCCAAATCCTCTCCTATATAATAGCTTGTAATATACAAAATATAAACAACAATCTTGTAACAATATCTATCAATCAATCAATAATATATTAATATTTTACAGTTATGGATCTGGTCTACTTTCCTTCACATAACAAACTATTTCTTGCAATGATCTGGATAATGTAACATTATCCTTTAAAAACTACACTATAATGCCTAATAATGAATCCATGCCTACTACCACTAATTATATAGGTCTTGTGTAGTAGGGCTAGATCAAGATCTTTCATATTGAATAAGGGATCCATGAATGGTTATAAAATAATAAAAAATTATGCTTTGGCAACATCAATGGGAGTTTTTCCATCCATATTCTGAAGAGTGACAGCGGCACCATTTTCCAGTAGAAGTGCTACACACTCCTTCTTGCCATAACCAGCTGCATAGTGCAGGGCAGTGTTTTATTCTTATCCAACGCATCCACCATTGCTCCAGCCTCAAGAAGGATTTGAGCACACTTCACCTCGCCATATCCACAAGCAAAATGCAATGTTGTCCTTCCCTCTGAATCTTCTTCATCTTTATCAGCACCAGAGGCCAGTGCATTCTTCAAGCCCGCCACATCACCAACACTAGCAGTGTGATGAACAATGGATTCATCCTCAATTCCTGGCTCTTCTATTTCATCTGGCCCAGCATTTTTAGCAGAGGTAGCAGGTTCCCCTGCAACAACAAGACCCATTGCTTCACCTAGCTTCTGTAGAACATCTTTATCATTCCAGTACCTCATCATTGCAGCTGGACCTTTTGTCTCTATCTCTTCTAAAATAGGCTTCAAAGCAGGATCTTCTTTGATGAGCGCCATTCGTTCATCAAGCTGGTCTTTGTGTGAAGGATTAGCCAGGTTCTCAAGCACGGTGGACATGGACGGATCCTGCATCAACGCATCGTTAATAAGTTCCATAATAAGAACCGTCAGCATCGGCGGCAACCCCTCGTCATATCTCACATCGACGACGGCTCCGATGACCTGGCAGACCTTCCCGATGGAGCCAGCACCGGTGAACTCGTCGGTGATCTTTCCTCTGGGGCCGCGGGCATGACCTTCTTCCTAAGATCTGGCTTCCCCTTCTTCACGGTGGTCATCACCCTGTCTCCAACGCAGGCCGAAGGCAACCGATTCAGCCTCTCCTTGATACACTTCACTGATATGATGTACAGATTCTTCGCCCCAGTGTTGTCTGCACAGTTCACCGTCGCCGCCACCGGAAGACCCAACGACATCCTGAATTTGTTCCCCGCCGAACCACCGCGACCTCGCTTCGACATCTTGTGCTCTCTCTCTCTCTCCCTCCCGATGGACCGACGATCGGAGGAGAGAGGATAGCAACCTCCTTGATAACATGGTGGGGAACCAACCTTTCTCTTTCTCTTTCTGATGGCGGACAGGGACGCTCTCTTGGCCCTACTCCCCCTCTCGCTCTCTCTGTAAAGGGAAACCCACCTTTCTCTTTCTCTTGACTAGCACATACACACCCACATCATTGATACAGTGGGAACCAACCTCTCTTATCTTTCCACTTTCTTTTCCTTTTTTTTTATTATCACTTTCTTTTTTCTAATCACGCTCTCTTGATTCGTCCTGTTCCCCACTCCCACCTTTCTTATTTTTTATACATCATTATCTATTCATCATCACCATGCTCAAAAAAAAAAAAAAAAAAAAAAAAAATTTTGTTTGAATATTGGTAACTAAGTTTAGAATTAATTTTATTTGATGTGAAAATTTAATTGGGTTTATTTAGATTTTGTTGTGCACAGAAACTGTTTTCCAAATCAGTCTGGTTTTTCTGTTTCGTTTTCTTTCTGTCAATTTTTATATACTGTTTTTCCAACACAGGTGACGGAGCTCGGCGACGGAATCTTCGTCGGATGCACCGTCAATCACGCCGTCACGGACGGCACGTCGTTCTGGAACTTCTTCAACACCTTCGCCGAGATCTGCAGAGGAGCCAAGAACATCTCCAAGTCGCCGGACTTTTGCCGGAACACCGTCTTCGATTCTCCGGCGGTTCTCCGGTTCCCGGAGGGCGGACCGTCGGCGACTTTTTCCGGCGACGAGCCGTTGAGGGAACGAATCTTCCATTTCAGCAGAGAATCGATCCTGAAGATGAAACTGAAAGCCAATAAAAAACTAACCACCGAAATTATTGGGAAACAGTGTAACGACAGTTGGACGGTCACTAACGGCGTGATTAACGGAAATCGGACGGCTGAGATTTCATCGTTCCAGTCGCTCTGCGCTCAGCTGTGGCGCTCGGTGACACGCGCTCGGAAACTCGATGGACATAAAACGACGACGTTTCGTATGGCGGTTAACTGTCGCCATCGGCTGGAGCCGCGGCTCGACCCGTTGTATTTCGGAAACGCGATACAGAGCATCCCGACCGTTGCTTCAGTAGGTGAACTCTTATCTCGGGATTTGAACTGGAGCGGGGATCTGTTGCACCAGAATGTTGTTGCGCACGACGATGCTACGGTGCGCAGGGGGGTGAAGGATTGGGAGAGTAACCCTAGGTTGTTTCCGCTAGGGAACCCCGACGGTGCATCAATCACGATGGGTAGCTCTCCGAGATTTCCGATGTACGACAATGATTTCGGGTGGGGCCGACCCATGGCGGTGAGGAGTTTTTGAGGGCACGACTTTTGAGGGCTCGTTATATATATCCATGTATCTCTTTTGGGCAGCCTATATACACACTCATACAGTGTCTTCTACACCGGTCAGCTTTATCAATCCCTTTTTTTCAACCTCAAATAGGTTTCTATCTTCACACCTATTTGAGTTTGAGGGGGGGGTTATACACAATATCATGTATAAGTCGCCCATGGCGCACTCCCTAAGTCACCCCCTTGGTGCACCACCACAATTTGCTACAACGGTCCGACATGACCCCGTAAACTGTCTTCTACAACGGTCCGACATGATCTCGTAAACTGTCTGCTACAACGGTCTGACATGACCCCGTAAACTGTCTGCTACAACGGTCCGACACGACCATACTGTGTCTTCTACAACGGTCTGACACAACCATACAGTGTCTCATATCCCATTTTTATTTATCAGTTTATTTTTCTGTTTTGTTACTCTCTTCAGACTCAAGTTGGTTAGTTCCTATCCTCCTTGAGTTTGAGGGGGGCTGTTAATGTAAATTGTAAATCTGTTTTGTTACTCTCTCCAAACTCAAATTGGCTAGTACATATCCTCCTTGAGTTTGAGGGGGGCTGTTAATGTACATTGTATAATACCCACTAACCTAACCCACTACATCCACCCCACTAAACCTAACACACTTACCATCTCCACTACCACCCACCACTCTATATATAGGAGTTGTAATACATAACAATATACATCAATCAATATATACATACAATTTATTCTCTCTCTATCAATTTATCTTACAGAGAAAATTCACAAATGCAAACTTCGCCGAATCAAGATGCATGAAACATGAATGCAAAGCATGAAGATTCATGGTATGTCAGATATATATGTACAATTAGGGAAAGCGATTAAAGAATGGGATAGACAGAAGCGAGATGGGGGAATTATTACAATACTTTAAATATTACAAATCCGAGGGAGATAAAGAAAATAAAAATCCTCTCAAACACTCAAAATAAAAATAAAAAATTTAAACCCCGGCCATTCATCAATTAGCAAAGATCCACGTGTCTTCAATCCAACAGGCCTCAGTCCATAAACCGTTGAGCAAGGATCCTCTAGAGTGATTTTTTCCTAAAGTTTTCTAGAGTGTTACATTGTGTGGTTGAGATTTAATGGCAAGTCACATCAATTTTTCTGATGTGACTTACCAGTAAATCTCAACCATACAATGTAGCACTCTAAGAAACTTTAGAGAAATTTCACTCTAGAGGATCCTTGGTGTAAACCGTTGGCATATATGTTGCCCACTCAAAAGGTTGGCCGGCCCATGCGCGTCTCACAATGTTACAATGGCCTGTGCATGCGTATGACATCAACCCTTCACGCATAGCAGCAGCAGTCCTCAGAAGCATTTGGCACGCAACAGCATCCAATACATTTGCCAAATTGAACGTGTGACATGCACACCATCATCCATGATCTGTCTCGCAATCCATGAGCTCATGACCACCCTGGAAACCGGTCATCAACTCCGGTGAAACACCCACACCCAACCCCGGAAGAAAGAACTTAACGCATGCTGACTTCCTCCAAGACCGGCGGTAACCACTTCATATAATAGAATTTGAACTTCGCATCATTCTAGACAGCAGTTTTGAGATCATCAGAACCTCCCAAATGTTTACCATTAACAAATACTTGCGGGACAGTGTGTCGGCCCACCCGAATTGAGAGAGACGGGTTGTTTCTACAGAGAGAGTCAAGGAGAGGGAGAGAGAGTCCGCCGTTTTGTTCTGCCGGGCTTGGAAGTGAGCTCCGGCAGCTGAGGACTGCTACATAGCGGTGGCGGAGTAGTCAGAGCAGGGGTGGCGAGGTTGTCTTCTACACTTCTCTCTCTAGCTTCTCTCTTCTTTTCTTGTATTCTATTCTGGTGGTGAGTGATGAAGAATTGGTGCCCGAATGGAAGAGAGAGCGAGATTGGTGAAAACCAGATGCAAGCCTACCTCAGTGCATGCATGTCCATCTGTGTATTAGTCCCCTGAGAGAGAGAGAGCCGTGGGTTTGGTCTTTGAGTGCAACCAATCCGAGAGAGAGAGAGACCACTTGCTATTGTTCTTTTGTTCTTTCAACTAAAGAGATAGCCCATGTGTGTTGATTATTACCCTCCAGAGTGAGAGAGAGCTTATGTGTTCATGCATGTGTATCTGTGGGATCTATCCGAGAGAGAGAGACACAGAGGTAGAGAGAGTGCAGGTTGGTCGAGCCGCTGCCGTCTGTGGCGACGACGGAGACGGTAGGTTGATCAAAGGCAACGGTGGCAGATCTGTGGGTCAAGAGAGCAAATCTAGAGAGTCCTTTTTTGTTTTGGTTTTGCCCAGCTTTAACCGAAGAGAGAGAGAGTGAGAGATATATTTGTGTGTGTGTGTGGTGTGTGTGTGTATGCTGTCAGTGTATGTGTGTGTGGTGATTTGTTAAAGCTATTGTCGTGTGTGTGTGTGCCGTGTGTGTGTGTATTAGTGTGTGAGAGAGCCCATCCCCGGGAGCCCCAAGAGAGAGAGTCTGTTATCTCTCTTCTTCCCCTAGACCACAGAGATATATTTTTTGAAACTCTTTTTCTTCCACCCAACCACTCTCTCTTTCTCTCTCTCTCTCAAATAATCAAATTCTCCACCTACCTTTGAACCCCACTCCAACCGAATTCAACACCCAGATCCATTAGCTTTTGAACCACTTCGTGAAATTCTATCTCACCCTCTTACCTGCTCTCTTCTCTTTTCAATATCCTTCACCTTTCCCTGACCATGCATGCTCCCTCTCTCAAGATAATTTTCAACCACTCTAAACATCATCATCCTCTCAACCCTCAATTCCACCGTCCATCGAAAGCTATAATAATATTCTCTCTATCTTTTCTTTCTCTTCTCCCTAAAAATACCCTTGACCACACTCTAACTTTTCTTTTTTTATGATTTTATTTTTTTATTTTTTTTATTATGTTCTATTTATCAACATAGTTAAAATGTGTCAATTTATATAACACCACCTAAAAATATGTACACACACATAAAATTATAAAATACTACAAATTAATAATTTGGCCAAAATGGGTGAGGTTTAGGATTAAAGTTTCAATCTAATTTTTCAGCTGAGAAATTCATAAAAAGGCATATTCTATTTTTCATCAAGGGGTGTTCAAAAGAAGGTGCCCAAGTATTAGGGCCGGTCATAATGGGGTGTCTACACCCTTCATGACAAGAGATAAGATCAGGAGACAACTGTTGGCCATGAGAAGAGAATAAATGAGTGGACTCAAAAAATGTGACATCAACAATGACTAAGTAAAGACGGGACTCAGGATGGTAACAACGATACCATTTCTGTGTACGGGCATACCCTAAGAAAACACAATTACAAGCACAGGGAGACAAGTTATCCTGACCAGGATCAAGGACATGAGCAAAGGCTACACAACCAAAGACACGTGGAGGGAGAGGGAACGGGGAATGGATACGATATAACAGGGGAAATGGTGACTGATTATGCAACACAATTGAAGGCATACGATTAATGAGAGAGTAGGCGGTGAGCATAGCATCACCCCAGAAGTGTTTAGGCACCTGCATGTTAAATAACAAGCTACAAGCAACATCTAACACATGTTAGTGTTTTCGCTTAACAACCCCATTTTGCTGAGAAGTGTGAGTACATGTAGTCTAATAAATAATACCACAATCAACACAAAAAGAATCAACTATAGGCTGTGTATACTCTAAAGCATTATCAAATCGAATCACTTTAACACATTTACAAACTGATTATGAATTTCATTATAAAACTTAGACAATATATGAGGTAACTCAGAATGCTGACGTAATAAAAACAACCAAGTCATTCGAGAGAAATCATCCATAAAAATAACGAAAAAAAAAATCATAAAGTGTAGAAATACGAGAATGACCCATATATCCGTGTAGACTACATCAAAAGACTCTAACTCACGACTAATGCTACAACTAAAAAAGGAACTACGGTGATGCTTTCCAAGCTAACAAGCTTCACACTCTAGTGTAGACACATAACTCAAACCAAGAACAAGAAGTTTAAGCTTGGCTAAAGACGGATGTCCCAAACAAAAATGCCACTGCAGGAGAGAGATACCAGCACTCAAAATAGATGAAGTAGGAATACGGGAGTGGGTAGTATCCAGATAATATAAGCCTGCTGCTCATGCCCCAAACCAATCATCCTCTTGGTCTAGAGGTCTTGTAAAACACAAGAAGTGGGAGAAAATGTTATGGAATTGTGGAGAGCTTTGGTTAATTGACTAACTGACTGTAAATTAAAGGGAAATTTAGGAACATCGAGACTAGAGGGTAAAAATAAAGTGGTGGTAGGGTGAAGTGTACCCATACCACTAATTGCCATCAACAAGAACAATATTATGGGCAACAGGATGTAAATCGTGGAAAAGTGATGAATTACCAAAGATGTGTGAACTGGCACCAGAATCTAGGAGCCAAGGTTAGCTAGACTGAGACATACATGCAATATTACCTGAACCAGCCAAAGTAGCGGTGGATGATGGAGGAAGAGCAGAACCAAGGAGTGAAGTAAACTCTGTAATCTGAGTAGGTAACCACTAACTCTCTGTTTGAAACTACCATCGAACAACCAAAATCACAATCAAAATGCAATGGATAGAACATGGCAACACTTCTACCAGCAATAAACAAGGTAGCAGAACAGTAATAGAAGAGAGGCAGCAGAATAGGAACAGAAGAGAGACAACAGAATAGAAGAAGAAAAAAAAAAGAGACAAACCTTTGGAAGATTAAAAACCACTTCTGGTGCACCAAAACACAAAACAAACTCAAAGAAAGCCTCAGAAGATGCAGTTAGCTCCCATAGGGTAGAGCCCAACAAGCAAAACCACCAAACAATGGAGGAAATCGCAGAAATGGGCCAAAGGAGCATCGTGCGCCAAGTTTTCATCTGGGCCCAAATGATTTATATGATAAGGGCCA